TCGACTGGATATATATGTGCACAGATACACATGTATATATATATATATATATATATGCATAAAATGGACAATAACTATATTGTGATTATATTTCTCTTTACTAATGTTATAGTCCAACTAGTATGGACTCTCCAGTTAGCGGAGGCGCCGTAGGTCGGTTAGATTCTCCTCAAGCCTCAGCAGAGATCGATGGAGATGAAAACGAAGTTGTATGCATCGATACTCCGACGCGACCGCAATGTGATTTAGTTAGTTTACTGCACGAAGTAACTCCGTTGCCATTGCAAATAATGAACGAAGAAATTAAATATGCATTCGATGAAATATTTCTTTTGGTTGATGAAGAGGATTGCGGTACAGATATATCCCAACACGTTCGAGAGTTATTAGTCGAATATCAGCATGGCAATCCGGATTCATCGACGAAGTTTGCGCCAGATTCCGGCAATCCTAAGACAATTGAAACGGACATAGAGAAATACGAGAAAGGTATTCCTAAGCACGGTGACGAGATGTTCCACAATTTTGTTTGCAGAATACAGAGAAATCCTGGACAGCTGCTACGGTAAAATCTTTAATGACGTTTTCTTGATGTGTCTATATGTTCAAAGAATTTATATTATACATATAGCTATATACCTTGATATTAGTTATATATATAACGTTTTTATTTTTTAGTTATTCAAGAGACAATTCTGCACCATTACTATTATATCCGCTGAGCGGTTGCATCGGTAAATGTCGAAATTGCGGTGATGAAATGATTTTTGAGTTGCAAGTTTTACCGACGATCATACCGAAGTTGTTATTAAATCCACGCAGCGAACGGAATTTCCAGATTGAATTCGGTACCGTTTTAATATATACTTGTATTAGAAGCTGTTGGTCCGCGACTGATCTATATCGGGAAGAGCATGTTATTGTTCAAGCGGAAAGACTATAGTTGTAAGATACTAAATAAGGTAATTATGAATGCAAAGTCTCCCTCCCCTAAGGTTCTTCCAATGATCCTACATAGAGTTTCATATTTATGCATTTAAGACTAGTCATGTTACATCTGTAGAAAAAATACCGTCCACCTCTTCATGTATTTGTCAGAAGTTCTAAGTAGCGAATGATGGTTGATATAGTGAAAACATTACGAGTATATTTCAAACTATATTAAGCAATATGTGATTCATGATTAAAAAGTTTTTTAGGGATGTCCGATAGAAGTCTGATTAGAAATATTTAATTTACTTTTTCTGCAACACCACACACATACATACACACATATACACCAAAAATTGATCTTAATATATAAGATATAACTGTAAAATTGGATAAATACAGAAACATTGGTGGAACATGATGTATATTCTTTGTTTTTAGAAAAAATTAGATACACTATACATATATATATATATTGTTACAGAATGTAACTTAATTTTATAAAATAGAAGATATAGTCTGATGTTCCTTATGCGATTTAAATACATTGCTCGCATTAATAAATATTTCCGGGATAACTTTTTATTTTTCTCTTTATTATACATGCACATATGCATATTTGTATTCTAAAACGAATCAAACTCAAAGCGAGACGAATGTTTAATAACTTCTGTTTAACGGATGTTCGGCGAAATAATCTTTTTTACTGTATATGAGTTCAGCAATATTTTTGTTCAAGGTATCACTATTAATCCATCCCCCTGATGAAATTTCGTCCGCGAGAGCTTTGGTTTTATTATCTGTGAGAATCGCAAAAATACTAGCCAGTTGTCGATCGAACTCGGCGTTTCTCAAGCCGATGCAATACGCTCTGGAGGTGCGCGAGAGGACAGTTATTAGTGCGAATGTTTTCACTGCCAATTCACTTATTCTACGCAATTCCATTTGTCGTTCTGATATTTCACTGCCATGACGTTGTAGCATCAACACCCCGACGGTTTGTAACCTGGTAATACATTTCTCCAGTATTTTGCCACCATTTACCAAAGATGGATGCAAATGGTCAGCGATGCGAAGATTTAATTGATATTCTTTCCCGAGGGTCCATCTTAATATGTGCTGAGGAAAATTAAACGGATTTCGTAGCTTCATTATATGTTGGCGCAAATTTTTGCCCATATGTTGTAGACCAAGTAGAGATATATATATGTTAGAATCAATATTATAAGAATCGAACAGCGTATAAGATAATGCATCCTCAAAGATCTGTATATAAGGCTTTTCTCTCAAATAACTCTCTACTCCAATGATTTGTAGCCCTTCATAAATACATGCTACGCATTCGTTAACGCAATGCATCTCTACCATGGCTTTTTCGAGTGTGCAATCCTGATTCTCATATATGTCCATGATGCCAGTGGTATAATACAGCATACTTTCCATGCTATATAAGGCGGTCGATATTTTACCTATTACTTCTTGAACACTTTCATACTCGTGCATATTTTGATCCAGGTGTTTCCTTTCTAGAACATGCCTCATTAATAATTTTATGAAAGTTCTCAATATACCAACTGCTTGTGGAGCAAGGTTTCTGTTTCCAGGTGCAAACGAATCTATCAATATATTCATTCCAGTTTTTATTTCGCCTAATAGATTGTCCTTTGGAATTTTGATATCCTTAAAAGTAACTGTACAGACAGGACTGTTATGAAGTCCTACTAGATTCTTGACGTCCTTATAGGTAATACCATTCATATCTCGCTCTATTAAAAACACAGATAAGACACCATGCCCACTGCTGAGTGCTTGAGAATGACCACATGGAGAGAATACAAGAAATAGATTCGAATCATGTCCGTTGACTACAAATGATTTTTCACCATTCAATATATAATGCGTGTCGCAATCTGACAATACTGTCGCAGTATTCATGTTACGTATATTCATTCCGCCGTCGGATTCGGTATAGCAGACTGTGGGTACGATTTCGCCAGTCGCTATTTTCGGTAAGTACTTTGCTTTCTGTTCTTCCGAGGCCATTGTAGAGATAATATGAACAGGCATAATGTGATTTTTGACGATGTAGGAACCCAACCAGGGGAAACAGCTGAGTACCTCCACTAATTTGGCCAATTCTGTCTGGTTCAAGTTCAGACCTAGGTGCTGTTCATCCACGTGCGCCCGAAAGACACCCAAATCTCTCAAATGGGATAGAACGTCGTCCTTCCTGACATTTTGCGGATTTTCTAGATTCTCCGACATATACTTCTCGATGGGTTGAAGCCACTCGAAGAACCGCGTATGCCTCTCCTTGGTTTGCGGCTCGGGATAATACATGAATTCATGGTCAAATACGCCGAGAAATAAATTCTTGGCGAATGGTTGTCGTTGTTGTTGTCTCTTTATGGATGCCGGCAGTCGTGTTTCAAGGTTTAATGTATCTAACGCGTGCTCACTCGCGCTTTGCGTATATCGAACGGATGCGCAGCTGCATGAGGAATGCCACAATAATTTTCTGCAAAGAAATTGACGTGCCAGCATCGTTGTTATGTTAAAATAACCTTTTTACAAATTAATTAAAGTGCAGAAAGTATACATCCTCCTACGTATTATAGATCCATAGACATACGTAATATTAGATTACTGAGCGGCTCGGAACATTATCCACCAATCACAAGTATTTAACCGAACCGAGCCCCGAGCCTATCCAATGAGAACCGAACAAGATCGCATTATATCAGCATTTAATGCTCGTCTATGTATTTTATATATCTATGAAGTAAGTTGTTCAGTAACGCCATCTGAGCTATTTTCTCACCTTTTTTCCTCTCTTTCAGTATCATATCATTTAAATGTGCCATTTAAAAAATGTGCCATTTAAATGGCACATTTAAATAGCTACTTGTATTTGAAGAAATTGGCGGCAATTGCAGATCGGCCATTGTATATAAATAATGCTGAAAGAGAACGAAGAATTGGGTAAAGAATTATTCCTAAAATAATAAAAATTAAGAAACTTTTAATTGCACAATTGATTATATCATTTGAATTTTGTTTAGCAATAGCTTCTACATACAATACTGTCATCAAAAAAATAAATTTTAAATTTTAAATAAACTTTTAAATGCATAGATCTCTTACCATATTTTGATATATTTTGCTCTTTAATAAAATATTTTATGAAAGAGCAAAATTTTATTAAAGAGCAAAATATATCAGAATATATACAGTTTATACTAAACAGTTTCGTGTTTCATCTGTCTTCGTCGTTTTCTTTTGATACATGTTTTTAACCTTATTATATATACACACGAAGCATTTTAACAATATTAGAACATCTCATGTAAATTAAAGAAAGATTATAAGAATTTGTTTTTCGTAAGAGAAAGATTATATAAAGATTATATAGAGATTAATTTGAAAATTATGAATTATTTTTTGTTAAAATAAAAAACTTGAATTTTAATTTCTTAATTATAGAATCGCTTTTTTTATTAATCGTTATTATTTCTTTTTTAGCCTGCTTATCTAATCTATTCATGCCAATTCCGTCTAAGGAACATAACGATGTCGAGACAATGTTCTCGAAAACGGTGTTATTGATGCTATTTGTTTTCGTATTTACATCGAAGGCCTGCAAAATACGCACTCATCAAAGCGGTGACGAGCATGTTTATACCACCGCAATTCATTATAATCCTCTGAAAGATTCAAATGTCACTGTCGATCCTTATTGTGACTGTAGCTCGTCCGGTTTTGGGGTGATGCGGATCCCGTATAATTGTGCTGCAAGCATATGTGGCAAGTTACACGTGGATCTATCGTCTGCGTGCGTTAGATGCGGCATGTGTACGGTTGTCGCCGAGGAGGTTCGCCTAAGGATCGGTCTTAGATATTCTTTATATTTATAACAATGCATAATGTACTAATATTTAATATATAACGATATTATTATTAATATAAATGCGTAAAATAATAATATAATATAAATGTAAGAATTTAATCTTGTATTATCATACATTTTTTCTAATAATACAATTTAATTTTAGATTAATCAAACTCTGTTGGAGATTCACAATATGATGGCGCCTGATGATTGGTTGAATGACACGGAAGCTGTGCTTCTTCTAAGAACTATTTGCGATAATTCTTTTCAACAGTAAATTTTATATTTTTACTTTATATTTTTCCATTGCATCACTTTTTGCACAATACCCTTACTTATTGATACGATTGTAATTATTACAGTTACGGTTTACGAGAAATTGATGGACAGCGATTTATCTCCGACCCATTACCGGGCGATAAGCTCGTCGTTTCGTCCGCCGATGGATTGTGGGAGAAAAAGTGAGATCTTATGAACAAAAATTTATATTATACCTAGCTTAGGAAAAATTAAATTTTTATACAAGAAAAAAGCTCGTTAAATTTCGTACATTATCAATATATTAGCTATTCTATCATAAAATAATTCTGTGATCTTTTATGACACTTTAATTATAAGATTCTCGTAGCTTAAGAAATATGTGTCACGAGTATCTTGATGAAATACAAGAGCTACGATTGTATAGAAATTGGAGGAAATGGTGCGAAGATGACGAATATATTCTTGATCTAGAAAATATTCTTTGCAGGTAATGCATATATATACTATATTCTTAATTTAAAATTCTTTTTCATTTATTTTTATTTCTTTTTCTGTCTTATTAAATTGTATCCGAGGAACAGATGAAAATTAAGAATCTTTATATTTGTCGCAGAAACGAAATTAGCAGTCTACGAGATTGTAGAGGTATAGATAACATACACAAGCGACAAGTGCCTACGAAAATTGTCAGTACTCATGTGAAGATTTTAGCCAAATATAATAATTGTAGTTGACCATACATTTATCATGTATTTTTGATATATTATTTAAAAAATCATTATATATAAAATATTATACACATGTAATATTATACACGTTGTTAATTGACATAATAATATTTATAGTTATAGCTTGAATAAAAAAAAGAAAGCATCTATTATAATAATTTTAAATTCTGCCAAGAGATGCATGACGCGATGTACATTGTGAGCTAAAGAATTATCTTGAAATATGGCAGACATTGCAACAATTATTTTCACAACAATGTTATAGTGATTACTATAATGCTTAAAATATTTTGAGATGACAAAATAGCATTTAATCGTGAAACGGAAAGGCCCGGGTTCCAGGAATGGTTTCCACATTCGAAGTCGGCGGGATTTTTTCGGTCGATTTTAGCTTCCTTTTGGATAAGCCCGAGAAGGAAGACCAAGACGCTCTTTTGGGGCCTGCTGATCTTCGTTGTACGTGGAAGCGCGGTTCTAGACCCGGGCCTCTCGATTTTTCAGGAGAAATGTCGCGTTGTTGAAGACCGACAAACGACTGCACCTGGCGAGCCTGATTTTGCAGCATGGTCAAATAAGTGGAATCGTAGCCACGCAGTCGACTGGTTGGAAGAGCATCATGAGAATGAAAGTGAGAGTGATCATTGGGGCGATCGTGATCACGATGATGATGATGATGGAAATGGATATGCGGTATCAAATGATGCTCGCGTAGGCCGCGTACAATAGTCTGGTGCATCTGCTTCCGTTTGTTCCATATCCTTTCAATGATACCGATGGAAACCGCTATAAGCATACCTGCCGTTAGGAGGAAGAAGGCGGAATAAACGTCTGTAAGTCTTGCGCTGTGAAAGGCCGCCGATGCCGCGCATCGCGGCATCGTCGGTAACATCCGTTCTTGTATTTTGTCCAAGACGCCGCGTTCGTATATGCGTAATATACTATAAACAAAATTTGAAAATACAGTGTCAAACAGTATCAATTTTAAAAAAACCTTTTTAAGAAAGGATAAAATATACATGTGTTTATACGTAGTTACAAAAGTATAAGTCATTAAGAAATGTATGCACTTCTATAAATCTATAGATTATTTTAATAATTTATAGATATATTATTTTAATATATAATAAAATATAT